CTTTTTAGAGTGGCCTTTTATTGTCCCCAACACAAGGTGCACCTGTGTAATGATCATGCCGTTTAATCAGCTTCTTGATATGCCACACCTGTCAGGTGGATGGATTATCTTGGCAAAGGAGAAATGCACACTAACAGGGATGTAAACAAATGTGTTTACAAAACTTGCAAGAAATAAGCTTTTTGTGCGTATGAAACATTTCTGGGATCTTTTATTTCACGCTTCATGAAACCAACACTATACGTTTATATTTTTGTTCAGTATAGACATACACGGAGGGCGAAAATCAGTAACATGCATGTCAATCTCTCCTGTCTCAAAGTTGAGGAGAGATTGACTGCATCACTATTGGTCTTTGTGGGAAGTGTTGAAGATCCGGAACTGTCTGTTCAAGCAGTTGGCTAACAGTTCGGGCACTCATCGGTACAACACAAGACATGCAATCAGAGGTCTCTTCACAGTCCCTAGGTCCAGAACAGAGGCTAGGAAATTCACAGTATTAAATAGAGCCATGACTACATAAAACTCTCTGCTACCCCAGGTAACTCATGCTAGCAATAAAAACAGATACAAAAAACAGATAAAAGAACACCATACGGCACAACGGGGACTGTGAAGAGACACGTCCATTTTTATATATTTTACATTTTAGTAATTTAGCAGACACTCTTATCCAGAGCGACTTACAGTTAGTGAGTGCATAAAAAAATTCATACTGGCCCCCCGTGGGAAACAAACCCACAACCATGCTCTACCAACTGAGCTATTTATTGTATTATATAGGTGGGTGGCCTTGCACGAAACCTTGGCTTGTGCAAGCCGGAACGGCTCATTGGGCAGGAGCCATCTCCTGTTTCGAGAGGCAGAGGCAGGAAATTATGTAGTATTATATATATTATATTATGTATTTTATTTGTGTTTTGTTTCCTTTTTGGACCCCAGGAAAGGCAGCAGCTCATTGGGGATCCCAATAAATAGTACTACTAAACAGAAATGGCACAGAACAGAATAAATCATCTACATAGTCATTCAGTCCATCTGTGCCACTTTAGAGCTGCAGTGGGCTAAACAATTAATACTTGACAGACGTGAAGTGCAAATTGCACTGATAAGTATGAAGATGATCATGGCAATTCAGAAATATAGAATGAATATGGACACGCACACGTCCCCAGACAATGTACCAAAGACCCATTACGAGAAATGCACTCGAATTAAAAAGCACGCTTATAAAAATCATTACAACCTGAGGCATTATGTGTGAGAAATTGATCTGATTGATTGATCAAGATCCTATTTTAATGGGATTTCATAAAGACTGGGATAAAAACAAAAAATATGAGAGCTATGTAAATATTCACACTATAATTTTGACTTATAATTTTGAGCTTTCACACATAAATAACTTGCTTCTGATAATAATAATAATAATATGCCATTTAGCAGACGCTTTTATCCAAAGCGACTTACAGTCATGCATGCATAAATTTTTTGTGTATGGGTGGTCCCGGGGATCGAACCCACTACCCTGGCGTTACAAGCGCCGTGCTCTACCAGCTGAGCTACAGAGGACATACTGATGGATGTCAAAAATATAAAAAATATGTTTTATTGTCACATACACTGAGTGTACAAAACATTAAGGACACATGCTCTTTCCATGACATAGACTGACCAGGTGAATCCAGATGAAAGCTATGATCCCTTATTGATATCACTTGTTAAATCCACTTCAATCAGTGTAGACGAAGGGGCAGAGACAGGTTAAAGAAGGATTATTAATCCTCGAGACAGTTGAGACATGGATTGTGTATGTGTGCCATTCAGAGGGTGAATGGGCAAGACAAAATATTTAAGTGCCTTTGAATGGGGTATGGTAGTAAGTTTTTTTGTCAAGAACTGCACCGCTGCTGGGCTTTTCACGCTCAATAGTTTCCCGTGTGTATCAAGAACCCAAAGGACATCCAGCCAACTTGATCGAAGGCTGTGTTTACACAGGCACCCCAATTCTGATATTTTTTCTACTAATCGGTCTTTTGACCAATCACACCAGATCGTTTCACATCAGATATTTTTCAGTGAAGAACGTTGATCTAAATTATTATTACTTGCCTACTTGAGTAAATTAATTTGTTAGCTTTCCATCTCCTTTCAACTCAGCAAATCAGTGCATTTGGTAACAGATTATTTATGCCTCTTAATGTCATGTCCTGGTTTCTCAAGGTCGATATAGGACATTCTACTATTACTCTCAATAGTAAGTGGAGACACAGACAGAGTTTTTGGGTCTGGGCACTAAGTGACCCCTTATGCCTGGAACTGGCCCTGAGGCTAGGTATAGGCCTACTATATGATTCGTTTTCAGAAAACCCGATAGTGTTACATAATTGAGACCTCTGGCTCTGTGGCAAAGGGAATTTGCATTGGATTGCTTACCTTTCACGCAGAAACCTTTAGCCAAAGGTTGCCTACAGCTTCTTCACGCTCACTATAGTAGGCTATAGACTCACAAGGATAGTTTTTCTTTACCATAGGCAATTTGTCCGTGCAATACACTTTCAGAAAGGGGATGTGCCAGCCTGTCCCTTGTTGCACGCCAGGCCACCGATGTGAGAGCGCGAAAGAGCGTGCGGTCAAAACATGAGAAAACAGGCGCGAAAAGGACATTCTGATGTTTGGTGGGCCTATAAATTGGTAATACGCACATTAACATTTACATTTACGTTTTCAACTGCGAGTCCCACATTAATAGTTTTCAACTGAATATCACATTTCCCTACAGGCATTTTAGGCTATAGGCCTCTTTAATGGGACTTGCGAAAGCACAAAGTCCCACTTTAAATAATGTATAAATTATTTGTGACTTATTATTTGGAACGCAATTTTTCGTACACCGTTTAAGATAAAACCGTCATTCAAACTTTAAAATGTGTAGACTGGTCTGGATTAAGTTGCTTGTATACAACTTTTTGATAAAATGTATACTTTTTATACTATTAAACTTGTCCTTCTTAAAAAACCTCATCCAGTTTACATAAAGGTCCCATTGTTAAAAACTCACGATTTCCAACATTCTATTTACAGTAAACAATGGGACTTTTGACACAAATCAGCTAATTTGACCACTTCCCCAACAAGTTAGACAAAAACTTTGACCATACAATACCTTATTCTACTTCTCTGTTATTCAAATCTAAATTCAGAATAGAATGAGCTTCTATCAATCAAATGACGGTAGAATACAATAGCGACTCCACTTACTATAGCTAACCCATGGCCTACCTATCTAAAACATTCACTATTACTACTGCAATGTACTGCTACTAGTACTTCCGGGCTACTTACCACTACTTCTACCTAGGTCTCCCACTGAAGGCTACTATAATCTATTTATAAAACAGTCACTCCCTCTACATCACCAGCCACAATGTTTCAATACTAACAAACTTCTTCTACTAGATGCAACATCATATTTCTATCCCCAAATAATAGGCTAAAACTTTTCTAATTCCTTATGAGTAAAGGTAGAGTAGTCTGAGTGTAGTTATTTGTGATGAAATGTGATCTAACTCAGTGTTTTCCAACTCCAGTCCTCGAGTACCCCCAACAGTACACCTTTGTGTTGTAGCCCCGGACAAGCACACCTAATGCAACTTGTCAACTAATCATCAAGCCCTCAATGAGTTGAATCAAGTGAGTTTGTCCGAGGCAGCAACAAAAATGTGTGCTTTTACGGGTACTCCAGGACTGGAGTTGCAAACACTGATCTAACTGCTCCAAACTCCAAAGTAATTAGGTTGACATAGTCTATCAAAGAAATCAGACCAGATATTTTAACTGACTATATTTCACCGCTTCACTTAAGTAAAACATTTTAAACTTCTTCCACTACCACAAAAATATTTTCAAAGAGCTGAAGCAAGTCACACAATTTTTCTTCATGGAAAATTACCATCTACTTTTAGTTATGGTCTTGTGCTCTGATTTTATTTTGCTGATTTTATTTAGCCAATTGCCAATAAATGAAAAAGTCCAAATTAGCCTAACACACTTTGTATGAATTACTGTTATCAAACAGTAAGAGTAACAAAAAGAGAAATACAACCAGACTATTCAACATTCACTCTCAACATCTCACTCAAAAGGTAGCCCAGGGCGGGTCTTTTATACTCAATGTCTTAAAGCTTCGGTCAGGATATTATGTTGGAACATTTTAAGTAGGCCTACCTAATTTCTTATACCCATACTCTGATCCAGATAGCTGACAGGCCTATATACCTAGGATAATTCACGTTCCACGCCAAGTCGCCAAACTCATTGGAGAGTCTTTCAATGGACATTGACCAAGAAAGTTAGAGTAAGTGACAAATAATAGGGCAAGTACAGTAATTTTTCATGAGAGTTTGCTTTTAATTTATTGCAGACTCTACTGAAATGGAAAATGACACGTTTTTGTTTTCCATAAAAGGTAAAAAGGCATAATACAGACCACTCCTTCACAATGAGGTTGGCATTAAGAAACATTATAGTGTAACAAAGGGATGCCTTTAATGTGGCAGTTATGGAGCAAAACATAATAAAGAGTCTAATTACCCCATTCCGTATTGCCCCTGCATTACCAAACAATATCACTCCAGGTAGGAACGGCTGAGCTGACCATCTTGTGATGACCATTGACCAAGGGAATAATAGTTAATGTAATCAAACATTGAAGTCTTATGAGCACGAAAGTGAATGAATGGTTTAAAGCACTCAAAAGCCATAGAGCTCCGCCACGAATCCCAATCAGAAGAAAAATGTTAACTGGCATATCATATAAAGAACACAGGCCTACAGTTAATTTCCAACTCACTTGCTTTTTGAAGAATAGTACAAAAAAATATAGAAAGATAGAAAATCCACCAAAGGTCAGAATGTATGTCCTGGTCCCATCAAAATAAATACCATAATATATTCTCTCTCTGAATATCCCACTTCTATACCTTATGTTCTAAACATCAGGGTCTGTACTGGCTGTACTGTGATGGGAGAGGGTTGCTTCCAAATCGCTGTGGCGCTGCGCCTAAGGCAGTTCTGAAACCTTGTTGTGATAAAGGCATCCCTGCACCCATTCCCAGGTTCATACCCATCCCCAGCTCACCCCCCGGCCGGGCTAGGTTCTGGTTGAGCATGTTGGTGTAGGGGAAGGCTCCGTAGTTGAGGCCCATGCTGTAGGGCCTCTGATGCTGGGTGCTGGGGAGAACCACAGGATGGACATGCCGCCCCGGGGTGTTGAAGGAGAACTCTGGCGGTGGGCTGCTGGGTTTGGATGGGGTGGAGGTGAGCCGGTCCATGTCCACCGAGGGTTTGGGGGGAGGGGGAACAAAGCTGGACAGGCCCCCGTAGTCAGAGGGGCTGAGTGTGCTGGCTGGGAGCACTCCGGCCATGAGGGAAGGCCGGATCCAGTCATCCTTGAAAATCTGAACCGTCAGCGTGGACACGAGGGGGAAGAGGCGGTTGGTCACATGGGCCAGCACCATCTGCTCGTTGGCATCCCGGCGTATTCGGACATGGACGGAGCCAGCCTGCACACAAAGCCGGTGGAGGAGACAAGGAGTTAAAGAGCCAGTCTGTGTGTTTACTCTACATTCTCTCTCTCTCTCTCTCTCTCTCTCTAGCTCTACTGGCAGTACCCTAGGGCATACAGTCTGGAGAGAGTGTGGCAACAATCCAGAACTGTGTGACAACAACTGAGCACAGCAGCAAAACCACTGTTTAAACTTAGTCTACACGGGAATTACGAGCGCAGCCAAGAAGCTGGCCTATTTATCGATATGACAGCAGTGATGCTGTAATTGCATAATGTTACCATTACATTATGCTGCTATTATGCAGAGTGCAAATAAGTGTTATTTCATTGAATGAAATTTAACGTAGCAGCAGACCTGACAGAATCTGTATTTCATTTCTTAAGTCATTCTACATGAAGCAACATTGTTAGAGCCACAGTCTGAATAATTTACATCTCAGGCATTTCAATGAAACCAGAATGACTCCATTTCCGTCTTTATGTACGATGTGACTACTGTCTTTTTGTGTGACTACTCTGTCTTCACAATGGGAATCAAGGAACATGGCCTTGCTTCTCCTAGAGGCAGAGCAAACAGAGCGTGACGCATTATGCTGGGAGTCTTCTGGGTATAATGAGGAGACAACAGGGACAGAACGATGATGGCGTACCAGAGAGCCAAAGCCCACCGTCCAGAAGTGTTCGTTACGGACCTCCAGGACCCCATCCAGAGTGGAGACCTGATGGAAGACAAGTACAGTGTTACACATGTACAGCGTGATAGAGGTAGTACAGCAGTACATACAGTCTAAAGGTCTGCACCGCACAGATTGTTTTCATCCTGCTCCCGCTGGCTTTCTGTCCGACTCCCACTCGCTCCCGCAATAACTGGTCCCGAACCCAACCGCAGTCCCGCAATGTTATTTTAGGAGTATGTGACACAGCTCACTTGCCAGCCATGGTCCCAGCAATTCTGCACCCTATAGGCAATATCAAAATGTGCCAAAATAACCTAAGAAGATTCTTACGTCACATGGCCCATTATATTAGGCTATCGGTAGGTATTACTGGGCTATATCAGCCAACAGGCCAGATGGAGTTTGAAGAGAGCAGAGTTGCAGAGAAAGCGGACACTTGCACTTTCTCTTGAACTACATTTTATAGCCTACCTTTTTAGGAGCGGAACAATTTTCAGATGGAGACATATGGGTGATCAATATTTATTTCTAGGCAATGTAGTAAACTATAGCCTTATCATATTTAGGAAGTTAATTTCCTTGGAAAGATAACTGCGCTGTGATTCTCCACCCATGCAAAGGCTATAGCATTCTCTATTTAATTGATGTGCACCTGATCTTGCACGTATGGATACTGAACCTGAAGCAGTATCCAGAATGATGAGGGCGGACACAAACTTTATCTTGAGCTACGTTTTGCATATAGGATGTAGCCTACCTTTTAGGAGCAGGACGATTTGCAGGCGGAGACAAATAAATTGGTAATAAATATTTATTGAAAAGGAAAAGATGCAATGCGCCTCTTCCTTTTCAATATTGCACCTGGACTCACGTTGGTTGAGCACCCGCCACTTCTTTCCATTATCAATATTACTTTACAGACACTGTAGTAAACTATAGCCTAATCATAGTTAAGTTAATTTCCTTGGAAAGATAACTGCCACGTGTAGAGCCCGATATTATCGGCGATATTGGCCTTTTAATGCTTTATCTGTATCGGCTGATAATTCCACCAATAACTGATATTCAATAAATACGATGAAAAACGGGAATCTCATGCTTATCTGAACACTTGCGGCCATTCCCATGATGTCATTAATTTCAAAATGTAAGAAATCAAATGTTTAAGCATATTTCTTGGACAATTGCTAGCAAATTTATGAAAATTCAGTGTGGGAAAATTAAACATTTTAATTTCCCCGGCGTAAAACAGCCGGCAGATATATATTGGCAGATGTTTTGTCCCCCCAAAAATCGGAATCAGTATTGGACCCAAAAAAACATCTAGCCACGTGATTCTCCGCCCATGCATAGGCAGCCTACTCTACTTCATTGAGACCACACATATACTGTAGGCACACTTGATCTCGCACGTCCAACTAGGAGAGGAGAGGTAGGCTACTGAACTTGAAGCAGCGAATTCTGAGGGTGTGTGAATAACGCGACAAAGAGGTGCTTTTAATACAATAGGTGGGATAACGCATACAAAGCAGAAAGACGTCCGTTTCCAAATAATCTGCGGGATCTGACCGCATCATGAAAAATGATGACCGCGCCACAATCTTTGTTGGCACACAACAGTCTCTGCCATGAGTGGAACAGTTTAACCTGACCGTGTGACCAGCCCCAGTCAACTCGCATGGACTGGCTCTAGTTATAATATTGATAGGTACCTCCCGAGTGGCGCAGTGGTCTAAGGCACTGCATCGCAGTGCTCGCCACTAGAGATCCTGGTTCGAATCCAGGCTCTGCTGTAGCCGGCCGCAACCGGGAGACCAATTGGGCGGCGCACAATTGGCCCAGCGTCGTCCAGGGTAGGGGAGGGAATGGCCGGCAGGGAGGTAGCTCAGTTGGTAGAGCATGGCGTTGGCAACGCCAGGGTTGTGGGTTCAATTCCCACGGGGGGCCAGTATGAAAATAAAAAAGAATAATGTATGCACTAACTGTAAGTCGCTCTGGATAAGAGTGTCTGCTAAATGACGTAAAATGTAAATGTAAAATAGGTAGAATGGCACAATAGGATCCCAAGGGGCACAATATATTTTAAAACGCGGTAGGGAATCATTGCAAGTTGTAGCACACTGAAATACACTTCAATAATATATACATGTAAAGCACAGAGACAAAAATTGGCTTCAATACACGTTTCGACTGTCTTTTTTTTTTTATGTTTGTTGCAACAACAAAAATATATGAAGGGCCATAAGCAGGGCATTTACGAGAAATTAAAATGTTTTATGTAGACGGTTTGATCACTGTGTAAATATCCTGTATTATGTCAATAGTTTATATGTATTCTGCCTCACATGCCTCGTTATTAACATGTGGTCCCGTGTAGCTCAGTTGGTAGAGCATGGCGCTTGCAACGCCTGGGTTGTGGGTTCGATTCCCACGGGGGGCCAGTATGAAAAGATGTATGCACTCACTAACTGTAAGTCGCTCTGGATAAGAGCGTCTGCTAAATGACTAAAATGTATTTCATGTCTAACTTTAGTGCTATTTAAATGACCCTGTTGATATTATTAGGATGATCTCCTCTCCCCACAACATTTACATCATTTAGCAGAGGCTCTTATCCAGAGCAACTTACAAATTACAACTAGGGTTGTCCTCATTGGTTTTGTCTAGATGGAGTCCAGCTACGACTGAAGTGACCCTTTTCCTAATTCTCCTAACCTGCTCAATTGACCTCCCGTCCTATTTCAATAGGTAATTAAAGGCACCCCACTTGCCTCTCTGAGCAGTTTGTCAAGCTGACCGATGACATGGGAGGGAGTGGTCTAAAGAGGAGAGAGCACAACACAGCCAGATGTTAATCTTTTTTTCATTAGTCCACTGTTGATACAGTTCTAAAATGTCTCCATTTTGAATCATCATGATGTGGCAGGTGACACATTGCTTCTTAAAAGTCCAATATCTTGAAAACTTGACTGCTGACATGCAAAATATTTTGGGACTGTATCAACAGTGGACAAATGACAAAAAACATTCCAAAATATCATTTTTGAGTGGATTTTCCCTTTAACGAGTAATGCGCTAAGGTCCATCAAAGAAGATACTATCTTACAACAAACAATGTAAGCCAAACATAATCCGGACAGAACATAACTCAATCATTCCAAGAGTTTACGGAGTTGAGTTATAGTAGAGTTGTGATCCACATCACATCCTACAGAGAATTCAGTTTAGACTGTGGACATGTTTGAATAGCCTACCTGAAGGAGCACCTTCCCGCTGTACACACTCATAGGATACATGGTGCCAAAGATCATAAGGCCGATGGCCACCGCAGAGGCCGTGTCCACAGCATTGTAATTACTGCAGTCAGAGAGAGAGAGAGCGTTATCAGGTACTTCATAATATATAATATCGGTAAGTTATAAAGTTAGGAGCATATATCTATGTCAGGATAGAGCTGGGTGATATGGACAAAAATCCATATCACCATAAATTGACTGAATTATCATGATAATGATACGTTTCTAAGTTAATAACATTCATATAGACCACGGTTACTAACAATCACCCATATAACAATCACCAACTCAGTGGTCTTGTGGTTAGTGTCCACCTTGAGATTAGAAGGCTGTGAGTTTGATCCCCGGCCGAGTAAAGACTGTAAAACTGGCACCTGATGAGTCTCTGCTTGGCACTCAGCATTAAGGAGATAGATTGAGGGTAAGGCCCTGTGATAGACTAGCGTTCTGTCCAGGGGGTGTACATGTACATTAAGCTGCCTCACGCTACAGAAACAGGAGATAGGCTCCTGCCCTATGAGCGGCTTGTGCAAGGCTATTTACATATAAGAAGACTTATTTCATTTCAATCTTCACATTTCTCTAGTATAGGCTACTTATCGTAAGGAACGATATCAGCAAATGTCCACGATAAGTGGTCGGTGTCGACAATTTTCGGTTTATCGTCCAAGCTCTATGTCAGGAGTTATCATGGAGGTTGATAAGTAACAAGAGGGATGTCAAACACACATCAGGTTGATAATGAGGGCTTTGTGGGAACACAATTCAGCGTACACATTATTCCTCAACAATATTGATTTATAACTTCCCCGAATCCACTAACTAATGCAATTACACCATGTCGGAGGGGAGGACTTACTTGATCTCAATGAGCATGTAGGTGATGCAGAGTGAGAGAGCTCCGGCCACGTTGATTAAGACAAAGGGATTCATACGAGGCAGAAGGACACTGCTGAGGCCAGGGATGATCCCACACAGGCTGAAAACATTCAAACACAAAAATAAGATTACTATACTGAACCATTCAACCCTACGGTGATGCTCCAAACGTGTCTAAACTTGTTAGTTACTGTGACAACACACATTACCAAAGGGCAACAAAATAAATTAAACAAACAATCCAAGACAGGGACTCACAGAAAGCACCTGTAATATACACGTCCATCTTAAAAGTGAAAATATTAATATTGCTGAGACTAAGTGATTGTAATCTTCTTTCTACAATCTACTGAACAAAAATATAAATGCAAAATGCAACAATGTCAACGATTTAAAGTTCATATAAAGTTCATATAAGGAAATGAGTCAATTGAAACAAATTCATTAGGCCCTAATCTATGGATTTCACATGACTGGGCAGGGGCACAGCCATGGGTGGGCCTAGGAGGGCATAGGCCCACTTGGGAGACAGGCCCACCCACTGGGGAGCCAGGCACAGCCAATCAGAATGAGTTTTTCCCCACAAAAGGGCTTTATTACAGACAGAAATACTCCTCAGTTTCAACAGCTGTAAGGGTGGCTGGTGTGCTCACTGTGCTGCCAGATTCCGGAGTTGCAGTCAAATTCAAATATGCTAAAAACCATTGTTTGTGACATCACGATGCCGTCACCATCGACGATGGCTGTCAAACATTGTTGATACTCGAGTCAGTATTCATGTCATAAGAAGGAATTCCCCTTGACCATGGCCACAAATTGGGGAAAACAAAACATTCTTTCCCATTGACCCCAAACATCGTCATCAATTTTTGGTTATAAGGAAATAACAAAACATGCCAAAAAGTTGCTGTGTTGTTCAATGTGCCTTCAGGAAGTATTCACACCTCTTTACTTTTTCCACATTTTGTTGTGTTATAAAGTGGGATTAAAATGAATGTCATTTTTTTGTCAACAATCTACAGAAAATACTGTCAGTGGAAGAAGAATTCTAACATTTGTAAAAAATGTAATGACAAATAAAACACTAATATAAACTATATATACAAAAGTTCGGCTATTTCAACCACACCCGTTGCTGACAGGTGTATAAAACCGAGCACACAGCCATGCAATCTCCATAAACAAACATTGGCAGTAGAATGACCTTACTGAAGAGCTCAGTGACTTTCAACGTGCCACCGTCATTGGATGCCACCTTTCCAACAAGTCTGTTCGTCAAATGTCTGCCCTGCAAGAGCTGCCCCGGTCAACTGTAAGTGCTGTTATTGTGAAGTGGAAACATCTAGGAGCAACAACGGCTCAGCCAAGAAGTGGTAGGCCACACAAGCTCACAAAACGGGACCGCCAAGTGCTGAAGCGCGTAAAAAACGTCTGTCCTCAGTTGCAACACTCACTACCGAGTTCCAAACTGCCTCTGGAAGCAACATCAGCAAAATAACTGTTCGTCGGGAGCTTCATGAAATGGGTTTCCATGGCTGAGCAGCCACACAGAAGCCTAAGTTCACCATGTGCAATTCCAAGCGTCGGCTGGAGTGGTGTAAAGCTTGCTACCATTGGACTGGAGCAGTGGAAACGCTTTCTCTGGAGTGATGAATCACGCTTCACCATCTGGCAGTCCGACGGAAGAATCTGGGTTTGGCGGATGCAAGGAGAACGCTACCTGCTCCAATGAATAGTGGCAACTGTAAATTTGGTGGACGAGGAATAATGGTCTGGGGCTGTTTTTCATGGTTCGGGCTAGGCTCCTTAGTTCCAGTGAAAGGAAATCTTAACCCTACAGCATACAATGACATTCTAGACCATTCTGTGCTTCCAACTTTGGGGCAACAGTTTGGGGAAGGCCCTTTCATGTTTCACCATGTCAATTCCCCCGTGCACAAAGCGAGGTCCATACAGAAATGGTTTGTTGAGATCGGTGTGGAAGAACTTGACTGGCCTGCACAGAGCCCTGACCTCAACCCCATCAAACACCTTTGGGATGAATTGAAACGCAGACTGCGAGCCAGGCCTAATCGCCCAACATCAGTGCCTGACCTCACGAATGCTCTTGTGGCTGAATGGAAGAAAGTCCCCGCAACAATGTTCCAACATCTAGTGGAAAGCCTTTCCAGAAGAGTGGAGGCTGTTATAGCAGCAAAGGGGGGACCAACTCCATATTAATGCCCATGATTTTGAAATGAGATGTTTGACGGGCAGGTGTCCACATACTTTTGACCGTGTAGTGTATATTCTTGGGACCCAACTCTTCAATGTATTATTTTACAGACAGATGGATGCATTCGTCCTGTGTTCTCTCTACGTGGTGAGGTTTTTGGATCAGATTTTATATTTTCTGTTTGGGATGCGCTGCATCCTGTTCATAAATGACCAATGTCTGATCTAATTCAAATGGCTAGCCTTTCATAATGCCGTTATCATATAATGGGCATTAAGAATGAATGTGTGCTGCTTTTCAGCATGTGACTAAAATAAATACATTGCTTTCATTTCACAAGAAGAGAAACCAGATCCCTATAGTGAGTGGAACCCCCTCCGATCTTAACAGTTGTGCGATGAGGCAGTGTGCATGGTTTACAGATCAGTTATCTGTGTTTAATCAGAGATGTTAATGTAGTGCATTAGGAGGTGTAACCCATCAGAGTAGGCGTGATGATATGATATGAAGTGATGCCCTACTCAGACAGATGGGTGCTGTCAACACTGGGGATCACAGTTTCTGAGACCACACATCATACACATCAGGATCAGTAAGGGGAGTAGAGGGCAATGAGTTCACTCACATTTAGCCAGTGTGACATCAAGCACTGACATTTAGCCCTGTTTTTGTATTCACAGCGATATACACAGATCTTGGCATATTATTATTTTAAATACGTCATGATTAGTTAAATACTGAGAAGATTAATTCTATATAGTGTTTTTAAACTGCATCACAGTCCAATGTCAACCTCTTATTATACATGGACACTAGTCCTCTGATGTCCAACAAGGACACAAAAAACAATAGGCATTATCTTTCAAAAAGAAAAGAAAACCCATTAACCTAAAGAAGCTCGACCTCCAGTCACTTAATTTGAAGCCAACATTTTTGAGGGGAGGGAGTGGGGTGAGCGGGAAGCAGGATTTACAATCCCAATAATCTCGTAATCTCCCCGCTGCATTGATATAATTTGAGTACTAGGGACAGGGTCGTGTGATTCCACGGCCGTCTGTCTGCACAGTCTGTGCGGCCGGCGCTGCCTAGAGAGAAAGAGAGAGAGAGAGAGAACACTGTGTGGATAGAGGGGGCTTTGTTCCAGAGTAACTGTTTGTATAATCCCACCCACTAGAGACAGAAATTGTGGGATTACGGTGAGACAAACAAACACTTGATATGATCGGTCGGCTATAAATACAGGCTAAACGCCGTTGCCCAAACAATAGTACACAGTGGACTAGCTCCGAGGGTTATATAATGTCTACCCACCAAACACCAGGGAGGGTGGTGAGGCCCAGAGACATGCATGACACGATTACAGCAGATAATGAAACGATGAGTCAAAGTCGTCCGGGACATCCTGTCCACTGTGCCTTCTATTCAGGACAATCAGAACTTTACTCTGTTATACAGAGAAAGTATCCACACTACTTGAATTTTCCCACATTTTGTTGTGTTACAGCCTGATTTTAAAATGGATTAAATTGAGATTTTGTGTCACTGGCCTACACAAAATACCCCATCATGTCAGTGGAATATACATTTTTACAAATTAATAAAAAAAATCTATAAGTATCAATAAGTATTCAACTCCTTTATGTCATGTCAAGCCTAAATAAAAACAGCAGTAAAAATGTGCTTAAATCACATAATAAATTGCATGGACTCACTCTGTGTGCAATAAGTGTTTAACATGATTTTTTAATGACTACTTCATCTCCGTTCCCCACACATACAATTATCTTTAAGGTCCCTCAGTCAAGCAGTGAATTTCAAAAACAGATTCAAGAACAAAGACAAGGGAGATTTTCCAATGCCTCGCAAAAGAAGGGCACCTATTGGTAGATGGGTAAAAAAAAAAAATAAAGCAGACATTGAATATCGCTTTGAGCATGGTGAAGTTATTAATTACACTTTGGATGGTGTGTCAATTCACCCAGTCACTACAAAGATACAGGCATCCTTCCTAACTCAGTTGTCGGAGAGGAAGGAAACCGCTCAGGGATTTCACCATGAGGCCAATGGTGACTTTAAAACAGTTACAGAGTTCAATGGCTGTGAGAGGAGAAAACTGAGGATGGATCAACAACATTGTAGTTATTCCACAATACTAACCTAAATGACAGAGTGAAAAGAAGGAAGCCTGTACAGAATAAAAATATTCAAAACATGCATCCTGTTTTCAATAAGACACTTAAAGTAAAACTGCAAAGAATTTAGCAATTAAATTCACTTTCATGTCCTGAATACAAAGTGTTATGTTTAGGGCAAATCTAACAACACGTCACTGAGTACTACTCTTCATATTTTTAAGCATGGTGGTGGCTGCATCATGTTATGGGTATGCTTATCATCGGCAAGGATTAGGGAGTTTTTTAGGATAAAAAGAAACGGAATAGAGCTAAGCACAGGCAAAATCCTAGAGGAAAACCTGGTTCAGTCTGCTTTCCAACAGAAAGTTGGAGAAAAATACACCTTTCAGCAGGACAATAACCTAAAACACAAGGCCAAATATACACTGGAGTTGCTTACCAAGACGACGTAGAATGTTTCTAAGTGGCTCAGTTACAGTTTTGACTTAAATCGGCTTGAAATTCTATGGCAAGACTTGAAAATGGCTGTCTAGCAATGATCAACAACCAACTTGACAGAGCTTGAAGAATTTTTAAAACAATAATGTGCAAATATTGTACAATCCAGGTGTGTAAAGTTCTTACAGACGTACCCAGAAAGACTCACAGCTGTAATGGCTGCCAAAGATGATTCTAACATGTATTGATTCAGGGGTGTGCTTACTTATGTAAATTACATATTTCTGTATTGCATTTTCAATAAATGTGCTA